GACACTGAGTTATCAAACAGGGGTGAGGGAGGGGACTTCAAATAAGGTAACATGGTGGCTGGAGAGATGGTTCAGCAGTTAAGATCACTGGCTGCTCTTGCAGAAGACCTGGGTTCAGTTCCCAGCACCCACATGGCAGCTAATAACCATCCATAACTCCAGTTCCAAGGTATCTGACACCCTCTTCTGGTCTCCATGGGCACTGCACTCATGTGGTGCACGTACATACATGCAGGCAAAACAGCCACATAAAATAAGTAAATCAAGGGGGGAAAAGAAAGGTAACCTGGCATCTAGTCTGATGGCCTAGACACCACCAGGCATGCCCCCAGAAGCTCTGTCACCACCTAGTGCCCACAGGCCTATTGAATCTTTCCCAGTCTGTACCCAGGCCAAATCAGCACATCCAGGTCCTGCTCTTAAGAACTTGGGAAATTGGGGGCTAGGGTGTAGTTCAGTGGTAGAGCACATGCTTAGCATGCATGAGGGCATGGGTTCAATCTCTAACACCAAAAAAGGGGGGAGACCCACTGGGGGATGGGCTAAGACAGCCTCATTTAACTACTGTCCCAGCCAGAATAAGGCAGGCTTAGAAACTGACAGAGGGGCCATTTTCCCATGTGTCCAGTCATGAGAAACAGAGAGTCTGCGGGGCAGAAGAGCAGGTGGCCAATTCGATGATGCCCGAGGGAGACACCAGGCAAAGAGGAGGCTCCTAGCTTCCCTCTAGAATATGTGCTCTGTTCAGTCCTCCAGAGCCTGGGTGATCAAATTGTCCTCAGCTTCTGCAAACTACTCCTGTGCCTTGGCGATGAATTCCTTTCTGCTCAATCTCTGTTTGAAACCAGCCTTGGCTAGCCCCAAGTCCTTGGTGGCCTGCTTCATATGCTGCCTACTTCCTTGCCATCCCTGCAACTTGAGCTAGGAAGACTTGGGGCATTCAGACCAGCACTGAGGAGAGCAGAGGTTCTATGTCACAGGCAGATTCCCAGGTCTGTCTCCCTCTAGCAGAGTGACCATGGACACCAAGCCTCCCGGAAATGCAGTTCCTCATGTCTGGGTTACTGCTATCTCCCAGCTCCTTTCCTGCACCTCTGCAGGCTGTGACCCTCATTACTGTCACAGTAAGCTTCTCAAAAGGCCAGTCCTGGCATCATGGAACTGGCCCACTTGAAAGCCCCACAGTGGCTTCCTACTTCTGTTCAGATATAATCAAAATCTTTTCTTACCTGCCTAGGGCCTCTGTATGTCACATAATGTCACATTTTGCCCTCAGGCTTGTGGGGACCCTAATATAATCTTTTTACCTAATTAACTTCATTAAAAATTTATTTTGAGCCAGGCATGGTGGCACACGCCTTTAATCCCATTCAGTGGGAGGCAGAGGCAGGCAGATATCTGTGAGTTCAAGGCCAGTCTGGTCTACATAGTGAGTTCCAGGACAACTGGGGCTACAGGGTGACCCTGTCTCAAAAAGACAAAAAAAAAAAAAAAAAAAAAAAAATTATTTTGTTAGCACCATTATTGAGCTACAAGCTACAATTCACAAATCATAGAACTTGCCCTTTTAAAGTTTACAGCCCAGTGGGTTTAGTATATTCATAGTGTGCAACTATCCCCACAATTGAATTTCAGGACACTTTCAATACCCCAGAAAGAAACCATTAGCAGTCACTCCATCCTCTCTCCTCAGGCCCTGGAAAAGACAGATCTACTTTCTGTTTTGTGAATTTGCATATTCTAGGTGTTGCATATAAATGGAGTCATACAATCCATGACCTTTTTATTCGCTATTTCAATTTTTTTCTGTTCTAATCTTTATTACTTCTTTCCCTCTATTTGCTTTGGATTTAGTTTGTTGCATCCTTGCTAGTTTCTTACAGCAGAAAATGATTGACTTAGGTCTTTTTTAATATAGACCGTCTCAGCAATAGATCCCATAAGCTTTAAAGTTTTGTTTTATTTTTAATTATCTGTGTGTGTGTGTGTGTGTGTGTGTGTCTGTGTGTGTCTGTGTGTGTGTAGGTGCACCTGAGTGTGGGTACCCAAGGAGGTCAGAAGAAGGCTTGGATGCCCTGGAGCTGGAGTCACAGGTGGTTATGAGCAACCCAGTGTGGGTGCTAGGAACTGAACCCAGGTCCTCTGCAAGAGTAGTATGTGATGTTAACCACTGAGCCATCTCACCAGCCCTCTGTAAGCTTCAGAATGTTAGATTTTCATTTTTATTCATCTCAAAGTACTTTGTAATTTCTCTTGTGGTTTCTTCTTCTTTTAGTAATTAGGAATTAATTTGCTTTCTACATATTTGTTAAATTCTCCAAATTTCCTTTAGTTTTTATTTCCTAACTTAGGTTCCAGGTTTTAGAAAACACACTTTGTATGACTTCAGTATTTTTAAATTTATTGAAACTTGTTTTACATCCTAACATGTAGTCTCTCCTAGATAATGCTTTATGTACACTTAGGAAGAGCTTGCTGCTGTTGGGTGGAGTCTTCTGTAGATGTCTATTAAGCCTACTTGGTTTATAATGTTATTCAAGTCTTTTATTTCTTTATTGATCCTCTGCCTATATTGTATCCATCATTGCAAATGAGACTTTGAAGTCCGGCATAGTGGCCCATGTCTGTAATCCCATATTCAGGAGGTTGAAGTAGAAGGATTTCAAACTCAAGGCAAGTCTGGGTCACAGAATAAGTTGAAGGCCAGTATGCACTACACAATAAGACCCTGTTTCAAAAAATAAAACAGAGCTGGGCATGTTGGTGCACAACTTTAATCCTAGCGATCAGGAGGCAGAAGCAGGTGGATCTCTGTGAGACAGAGGTCAGCTTGGTCTACATAGAGAGTTCCAGGCCAGCTGGGGTTACAGGGAGACCTGTCTCAAAAAGAAGAAAAAATAACAATAAAAGTAGAAGACCTGGAAGTCTACAACTACTATTGTTGAGTTTCCTATTTTTCCATTATTGTTGTTAATTTTGCTGTCTATATTTTGGGGGCTTGTTATTGGGTACACAAATGTTTATAACTGATGTAGTTTTCTGACAGACTGACCTTTTGGTCATTATAAAATGTCCTTATTCATCTCCAGTAGCAACGTGTGGGGTGCATGTGTGTGCACATATCACTGTGGGTGCACACACCCATCTGCATGCATGGACAGGTCAGAGGAGGATGTCAGCTGTCTTTCTCTATTGCTCTTCACCTTATTCCCTTGAGACAAGGTCTCTCACTGAACCTGAAGTTCCCTATTTTGGCTAGGCTGTCTGGCCAGTGAGCTCCCTGGATCCTCTGGTCTCTGCCTGCAGCACTGAGGTTATTGGCATGCAGGGCCATGCTCAACTTTTACAAGGGTGATGGGGATTGAACTCAGGCCCTTACGTTTGCACAGCAGACACCCTTACCCACTGAGACTCTTCCTGGTCTGTCTAGTAATCAATTTTTGTCTTTTTTTTTCCCAGTGTTCACCTCGTGCATGCTAGGCAGGCACTCTACCGCTGAGCTACATCCCCAAACACAATTTTTGTCTTAAAATCTATTCTGTCTGATTATTTTATAGCCATTTCAGCTCTCTCTCTCTCTTTTTTTTTTTTATAGTGTGTGTATCTGTGTGTGTTTGAGACAGGGTCTCATGTAGCCCCATTTGGCTTCAAACTCACTATGTAGCTAAAAATGGCCATGAATTCTTGATTCTCCTGTCTTTACCTCCTAAGTGCTGGGATTACAGGCATGCATTACCACACCTGGCCTTCCTACCTGTTTCTGTCTTTGAATCTAAAATGCATCATCTATTATAGTTATATCTCCAGCAAATAATACCTTGTATAAAAATCCATTCTGCCAATTTCTACCTTTTTATTGGAGACAGAATTTATGCAATTTTGTTATCTGTATTCTGTTTTCTGTCTCTTTGTCTCTAAGTTGTTCCTTTGTGCCTTATTTTGTGTTAGATATTTTCTATTGAAAAATTTTAAAATTTATCTTGAATGTGCTATGGTGCATATGTGGAGGTCAGAGGGCAACTTTCAGGAATTGGTTCTCTCCTTCCACCACGTGGGTTCCAGGGATTGAACTCAGGTCATCAGGCTTTACCCACTGAGTGCCTTTACCCACTGAGCCATCTCACTGGCCCTGTATTAGTTTCCAACGTAACTTCTAATTTATTATCTTTTATTACAGTTTATGCTAATTCCTCACTTATTGCCTTAGATATTATAGTTAGAGATTATAATTATAGAGTGTGTGTGCATGCGTGTATGCGTGAGTGTGTGCGTGTGTGTGAGTATGGTATGTGCTGGGGATCAAATCCAGAACCCAGCGCATGCTAGGCAAGTGTTCTACCAGTGACCCACATTCTCAGCCCATACAATTAACATTTTAATTTAAGTATAAGTCAGGATTAATGCTGAGTTTCAGTAGAATGCAAAGCTTTGTTCTACTACACGGTTGTGTGCTGCATTACGTTGTTTCAGTCAACATGGACCACATGCACAACAGTGTACAACTGCATCACCTACTGATGCTGTAGCCACCTTGGTTTGTATCTCAACACTCTGTAATGTTCACACAAGTATAAACTGCCTAGCAATGGACTTCTGAGAGTCTGGACCTATGATGACACATGACTACAGTTCTCTTCGCTCTCCTCTCCTTTGGGCCATTATTGTCATATAAATTACCTTTGCATGGCATAGGCTACCAACAGTTTTATACTTCTTCATGTAATGCTTTTTTTAATTTTAGTATTTATTATTTTTATTTTATGTGTGTGTTTTGCTTGCATGCATGTAAGTACACCCATGTCATGAATGCCCTTGGTGCCAGAAGAGGGCACTGGATAGCCTGGTACTGGAGTTACAGATGGTTGTAAGCCACCATGTGGGTGCTGGGAACTGAACCTGCGTCCTCTGCAAGAGCAATCAATGCTCTTAACCACTGAGCCATATCGCCAGCCCTACAGAACTCTTTTTAATCAGATAGAAGAATTATAAACAAGACATACCTTGAAAGGTGCTCTTTATTTCTCACATGGATTTGAGTTGCTCTCTAGTACCCTTCTGGTCCAGCCCAAAGGACTCCCTTCAGCATTCCTCACAGGACTGTCTGCCAAATGACAAATTTTCTCAGTTTTTGGTTTTTTTAAAATCTGGGATGTTTCAATCGCAGCTTCATTTTTGAAGGATAATGTGGCTGGATGAGAGGTTTTTTTTTTAAATTTATGTGTATGAGTGTTTTATCTGCATGTATGTAAGTGCACTCATACTTGCAATACCCATGGAGACCAGACGAGAGCTCAGATCCCCTGGACCGGGAGTAACAGACAGTTGTTAGTCACCATGCGGGTGCTGGGAACCAAACTCAGGTCCTCTTCAAGAGCAGCCAGTGCTCTTAACCAGTGAACCATCTCTCCAGCCCTTGGGTGTAGGACAGTTTTTCATTCAACACTTTGACTAGTCTGGACTATGTCACTGAACTGATTTCTTTCTCCCTCTCTCTATGGCAGCACTAAGCTTAAACTTTTTTTTCTTGCTTTTTAACTTTTTTTACATTTGTTTATTTATGTATGTGCCCACACATGCACACTATGGCAGAGCTCAAAGGACAACTTGCAGGAGCCAGTTCTCTCTTTCAATTACGGGGATTCTGGGGACTAAACCCAGGTTGACCAGCTTGGCAGCAAGTGCCTTCTCCACTGAGCCATCTTGTCAGCCCAGCTTAAACTTCTTAATGATTTCTTGCCTAATTTTTATTATATTATATATACATATATATATACTCATCTTATTATATATACTATTTCATCTTATATATACTTTTTTGTTTTTATTAATTTTGAGAGAGGGTCTCCCTATAACCACAGCTGTCCTGAAACTTGCTATGTAGACCAGGCCGGCCTCAAACTCACAGAGATCCCTGCCTGCCTCTGCCTGTTTAGTGTTGGGATTAAAAGCATGCACCACCATGCCTGGTCATAAATGTGTGTGTGTGTGTGTGTGTGTGTGTGTGTGTGTGTGTGTGTCACACACACACACACACACACACACACATATTGAGCCAGGGTCTCATTATGTAAGTCCGGGCTAACCTTGAACTCATAACCCTCCTGCTTTAGCCTCTGAGTTACTGGGATTACAGGTATGCACCAGCAGGCCCAGTTTCCTTGCCTAATTATTAAAGAACTGTAACTCTTCAGTTTGAGCTCAACCACCTCTTCCTCCATGGAGAAGGAAGGGCTCTTTGATACCTATTGTGCCTTGTAATGATTATCACAAATGTGGTTAAATAACTAATGGGAGAGGTAACCCATCAATAATGGGTTCTCCCATTATTGAAATGTAAGTTCCACCAGAGAAGAACTGAGTCTGCTCCCCAGAAGCTACAGAACTTGGCACACTGGAGACTTTCAATAGTGTTTACTCAGTGATTGAATGACCAGCACCATAAAGGAGCTGAATTACTGCTCTCAACTTTTCACCCCCTGAAGCAGTACTCAACAGCCACACCCTGCAATGTTCTTTTGGTGGGAAGCATAGTTCCCTGTCCCTTGACTTGTTCACATGACTTGCTTTTGCCAATGGGATACTCGTGGATAGGCCTGTGAAATGGTCTGACATATGCTGTGTGACTGAGCTAACTCCTTCACTCTTGCCTATCACCCTGAGACTAGCTAGCCTGTGTGATCACTGGTCCAAGTGGGTTCAGAGACACATGGAATAGATTTGAAAACCCACTCACAGTATGAAGCCAGCCACAGCTCACAGCCCAGATCAGTGAAACCTCATCTGACTCACAGACCGAGAAATAAATACTTTCTGCTGATGCCAGTAAGTGCCGGTGGTTACATTATAATATGATAGCACAAGATCACTTAGACACATGTGCTGGTGAGCTTGCAGACTGGGATGATGTCCTGGGGACATTCTCTGTATGTCCTTCATGTGGCCCCCAAAAGGATACTGATTCTCCAGGAAATCTTCCTACCTCCTCCACAACCTTTCTTCCACCATACCTGCACCCTAGATAGCCCTTTGCTATCTGAGCTTCCAGCTCCTACCACTTGCCAGGCCCATCCCCAAACCCCAATCCAGCACCCTAAGGGTGCATGTTCTCAGAACATGTTAGCAGAGTTCACTGGCTCAGCTTCCCACAATGGCAATACTCATCCTTAGTAGCATTCTAGCATCTACTAAGGACCTAGCACAGTGCGAGGCATGATTAGACTGAGGCTACTGAACTCCCAAGAGTTCATCTTCACAGCCAGAATATCTGCAGTTCCAGGGCTAGGGATATGTCTCAAGGGCAGAGAGCTTGTGGTTCAATATTCAGGACCACAAAAAAAACCACTCAGAATCCCTGCAGTTCTTCCTCTGCTGTGGAGATAGGGAAGGGAACACATGCTCACCTGTTCTGGGGCAGACCCTTTTACTGCCTCAACTCTTACCTCAGAAAAAATGGAATATGGATAGGCTGCACATTCTCTCACATTGAGTTGGTGTGTGATTTAGAATGTATTTATGCTTTCCAAATGTATAACTGCCTATTTCAAGGAGGGCTGGTAGCAGTTCAGGGGCTAAATGCAATACAAAGTAAACAACTTAAAGATGAAAGAGAACAGAGGCCAGGCAGAAGAGATGCATCAGAAATCTGATGATGAAGCTGAGTATTGCATCCAATTTGAAGCACTCAGCAGTCTCAAAACAAGGAGAGCACAGGGGCCGTGCGACACAAGGTGCAATCAGACAGCAGTGACCCTGAGCATGAACCCCACTCACAGGTGCAAAGAGCAAAAGGACACTCTTAAGGCAAACTGGGGATATCCATTTTAACACTAGCCACCTCTCATGAGCTGAGGGCACTGCTGACTGACCTCTCAAGATGCTCACAGTGGTGCCTCAGATTCTCTTACTCCATTTTACAGATGAGGAAGCTGAGGCCCACAGAAGGGCCACAGAGAGAGGAAGTCAGAGAATCAGCACGAAAACCTGCAGCCTGAGGCCTCTACCTCTAAGCCTTCCAGCTGTGCTCCCACTGGCTCACAACCTCTGGCTCTGGTCCAGCCCTTTCCCCTTGGAGGCTTTGTTCTCTTCACTCCTAAAGATCTGTTCTGACCAGGCATGGTGGCGCCCACCTTTAATTCCAGCACGTGGGAGGCAGGGCAGGCAGATATCTGTGAGTTTGAGGCCAGCCTGGTCTACATAGCCCCAGCTGGGGCTACAGGGAAACCTTGTCTCAAAAAACAAACAAACAAACAAACAAAAAGATCTGTTCTGAGATGGCTATTACTGGCCTTGCCCTTTGGTCAGGATCACTTTACCTCCTGGTGGCCCCTTGCAAACGGTCTGTAGGGATTCCCACCTCCCATGCTTTGCAGCTATGTCTCTACTTCAACACCGGCACCCCCACAGGTTCCATGTCCAGCTGGGCACTCACTGGGCATCCACCTCCAGCTTCTTCTAACATGCAGACTTGCTTCTATTGCTGTCTGTTCCCCAGGCCAACACCAACACCATAAGGGTCTGTGTTCTGTATCTGTTAGTAGAGCTTGGTTCACACAGTGCAAGCCACTGACCTGCCAGGCTGGTCTGGGCTCTAGACATCAGGTCTGCACAATGCGAGGTTAGTCCACAGTTGAGTCCTGGCTGTCCCCCTGGTCTGTCCTTTCCACCCTGACCTCACTGCGTGAGCCTGGTGGAGACTTTCAATTTTATAATGGCAGTTTCAATTCCAGATAGGGCCTTTGCATTCCCACCTGTCCCACTCTGCTAAATTATTAGTAGTTCCCAATCACTCTACTGAAGGTGACTCAGTTCCCCCTTGACACCAGAACCTGAGGCTGAGGTGCGGGGAGTCTGAGCCCAGCCCAGTGCAGTCCCAGAGTACTTCTGTGCACAATCATAAGAGGTGCACCTCTGAGGATCTATCTCTGCCCCAGTCACTTAGAAACCATAGTGGTAGCCAGGATGGTGCCACATGCCTATAATCCCAGCACTAGGGGGCTGAGCAGGATTTTGAGTTCCAGGCCAGCCTGCATCATAGCAAGATCCTATCTCAAAAACACATACACACATGCACACACAAAAACAACCAAAATCAAACCAGACATCATTGTTAAACATTGAAAAGGTTAAAGTAAGATATTTCCCATCCTTTGTTAGCAAACTTCCATAACAAACCACACAGACCAAAGCTGTCTTCCACGTGGGGTCCCCATATGGCACTCGGCCTACAGAAGCAATTTTGGCATATTTACCATGTCCACAACCACTTGCAGCTCTAGCCTAGCAAAATCAGCATAGCAGAGACCTATTTAGTGGTACCCAAGAGACTGCTAGGCTCTTCACATTGAAATTGTAATCCCTAAAGTCACAGTATTAGAAGATGGAGTCTTTGGGAGGTGATTAGGCCATAGAGGTTGGAGCCCTCATGAATGGGATTAGTGTCATTATAAAAGATACCCTTGGGGGCCGAGGGGATGGCTCAATTGGTAAAGTGTTTGCCATGGAAGCTGGATGACCTGGGTTTGGATCCCCAGCACCCATATAAAAAAGCAGGGTATTGTGGTGCACATCTGTAATCCCAACACTAGGGAGGCAGAGACAGGAGGGTTTCTGGGGCTTGTTGGCCAGCTTAAACTAGCAAAATCAACAAGCTTCAGGTTCAGTGAAAGACCCTGTCTCAAAACATAAGGTCAGAAGCAACTGAGGAATACATCTGGTGTCTACTTCTGGCCTACATACATGCACAAACATATAAACTTATACATACATATAACAAAGAAATTAGGAGGCTGGAGAGATGGTTTAGCAGTTAAAAGCACTGGTTGCTCTTGCAGAGGACCGGGTTTGGTTCCCAGCACCCATATGGCAGCTAACAACCATCTGTAACTCCAGTTCCAGGGGATCCACACCCTCTTCTGACCTCCATGGGCATCGCATGACAGAGGTATACTTACATACATAAAAGTAATACACTTATACATGTAAAACAAAAATAATAAATAAAATGTTTTTTAAAATAAATTAATAAATAAATAAGAGGTCACAGAGGGCTGGAGATAGCCTGGTGAGGCCTTGGATTTCATCTCCCACCCCACCGCACTACAA